GATCAGTGCCAAGTAGACACACAAGGATCAGTAGGAGAATGTTAGCAGTAATCTTTGTGTTATTTTTAATGCTCCTTCCGTACCAAAATATAAGACGATTTTGCAGAATAGTAGTAGGTCAGCTGGAGCAGCCTTAGTAAGTAGGGCAGTATATGCATCTAGACAGCTACTACATCCGTCTGGGTTTATAGAGCCCCTGAGCCACCAAACAGCGTCTGGATTTACTAGGCCGCATGCGAGTAATTCACGGGAGTTGTTAACTAAGCCTAATTAATGGACGCCCTCGTTTCTCTCTTCCAGCCAATGCATGCAGTAATCACGTGAGAGGATTGGGCATGCATGTGGGCCTCAGACAGAAACCTAGGGGACGCAAGCAGCCGCCCCGATTTTCTAGCGATTAATGTGATGCTCTCTTTCCATGAGTGCTCCATGCTGGTTGGTTGTTGCCACGACCGATACTTTGCCTTGGTCCTGCTGCTTTGGCTCTCAGGACCTATAAACCAGGATGGGGGTAGTAGTAGTCAATTTGGCCTTTGCATGTAATAACAGCTGCTAGAGCTGCATGGTTGGTTTAGCACTAGGAACCGACTTCCCCATGTACTATATATAGACCTGAGGGCAGCAGTACAAGCCACAGCTTCAGAAATCAAACTATCCTCTGTTCAGCCCCAGCTCCCCTCTACTTCTATACTTCAGCCTATTTCTAACACTATGCACAATATACACAAAACATAGACATTCTCATTTGTTTTGGAATATTCCATACTTTAACTTCATATTTTTTTCCAACATAACATCTTCCTAAAGTGCCTTTTCAGATGTAGTACTTAGCCGCTATTCTTTTATATTTAACTTGAGTTTTGTAGTATATATCACAGAGTCATCGAATATTCTTTAGGTATAACTTGATTTTCAATGATATGAATGATAGGAATCAAATCTACACTTCATACTTGATGCAAATATGACTCTGAATATGGACGTTAGCCTATTATAACAAGTTATATCAATATTTGCTTATCGTAACTCGCGAGGCATGTGTAACTTATTAGTTATTAATAGTTCATAGGACTAGATTCTGAGTGTCAAAATAACGCATGAATAACCATTGACCCCTATTGTGAACATTAAGCTTTAGTTTAATTGTCAGTTGCTTCTGCTGATTTGTTGTCTGTATTTGCAGGGAGTTTTTGGTGGATGTTATGGCTGCTCCAGGGACTCTCATTCCAGCAGATGTCTTTAATTCAAAGGGTACTCCATTCAACTTCTGTCAAATATTGGGTCAGAATCAGGTGGTGGAGTCAGCAAGTAACATCGAAGATGACCCAGTTGCATTACAGTCAGAGCATAAACGTAACCAAGGGCATATGTTTGCCAATAATAATCGGATCTCAGACAATCTATCAAGCTATGAGAATACAATGACCGCTGGAAGTAGTGCTAGGGAACCTGGGACATTGGACCCTAGGATGCAATTAGGTAAAACATCAACTTTGGCTAGTGCTCCTTCCAAGCAGAAGAAGAATCTGCAATTGATTCTAGACTCTCATGAAACTGAAGAGTCCCGAAAACTATTTGTGGAGTTTGATCCTTTCAATGCTACTGAATCTGGGAAAAGCTCATTGGCATTCAAGGGATTAAATAATAGAAACAATGAATTCCAAAGGCGTAGAGAGAATGTAGTCCCACCATCTGCAAGATCTCAACAGCCATTGGTGATGAAAAACTGGTCTGCTTGCAATGACATTTCCAACAACAAGCAATACAATGTTGCTGATGGGTCAGTTCCTCGGAGAAATGCCACTGACAATGCATCGTCATCTCAGTTGGCGTTGTCAACTGCAAAGCATTACAATTCCAATGTTAGAGAGCTAAACGATAGAGTGTATGCGGCACCTGCTCGTTTTTATGACAACAGGATAGTTGGTACCTCGGCTATGGCCAAAGCATCGACTGGAGAGTGCCTTGACAGATCACAGGTGCCACCTGGTCTTTATTATGACAAGATGCTTGGTACCTCTTCTATGAATGCAGCTTCTACATCTGGAACCGGGAAAGTTGCAGAAAAGGACCCTCATAATGATCCGGGAAAAGGTCCCCTCTATTCTAGATTTGATGGTGAACTTTCTAAAAATGCTCAAGGATTTACTCCTGAAAGGGATGAGCACAAGGAAAATTGTGGCAGTCATGACCACAAAGTGTTACATCCTGATCCAAGAAAGTCCCCTCTTGACAGATTCATGGACAGGCCAAGGCAGAACATAGAATGTGTTTCTCCATCCCAAGTTGGATCAAATAAGGCTGACATGGTGTTGGATGAAGTGTTTGAATGTGAAATCCTTTGGGAAGATCTTGTAATCGATGAAAGAATTGGCATAGGTACATAAATCCATTTTAATCTATCGTCTAGTTATATTTTCACTTATCGAGTCGATTGTAGGTTGCAGGGTCACTTGCCATACAAATTGACATGGAGTTTGCACTGAGCACAAAAACATACTCTAAATTTCTTGTACTGTAAAATCATAAGCATGTATAATCCTTTTGTCTGTTGCGTGATATGAACCATTTTGTTCCTATGTTGTATCATATGGCGACTAAAGGAGCATTTCTTGCAATTTTTAGGTTCATATGGAGAAGTCTACCATGCTGATTGGAATGGAACTGTAAGTAGTTTTTCTTGTTTAACTTTATTGGAAGATACCGTTGAGCTTAGTGCACCAAAGCTCATTTACAAGCATTATCAACTGATTACATAACTGAAAAGTAACATACAGCCTAGCAAGATGCCCGTGCATTGCACGGAACATCAAGATGCATTTTTTTACAAAACACCTGTTGTGATTGACCCATGCAGGAGTAATCCCATGTGTAAAAACTAATGATATCTCGAGAATTTTATCGGAAAAATGGTATCTCGAGAATTTCATCGAAAAAAATGATATCTCGAGAAAGATGAGAGACAAGGTGAGGAGGAGTGGGGCGTGGTGGTGACTGGTGGTCGGACTGGGCGGAGGCATGGGGATGGACGGCGCCGGCAGCGGCCACCATGCCAGATTGTTCCAGAGATTTCCTTTTTTAACTGCTCAGCAATGAGGTTGTGGGAGATAAGGATGAACGAGGCAAGGCCTTATCTGTAAATGTGGAGAGATGTGCGGGTATCTTTTGTAAAATTGTCGTAGTTTGCTTTCTGTCCGTCAGATATAGATCGGACGGTCTATATTACAAGATGGCAGGCACACCATCATCACCAACTGGTTTTTTTTATAAGAGTAGAGATAGGGATAACCTTTCAAAGCATGGCCTGTTCTGCTATTTCTTCTGATTGGGTCTGCTTACCATGATGGTAAATTTGACGTTTTTTAATATACAGGAAGTAGCTGTAAAGAAGTTCTTGGATCAAGAGTTCTATGGTGATGCTTTAGAGGAATTTCGTTGTGAAGTAGGTGAAAGATGATGCTTTTTATAACCAATACTTTCCTGAAAATCGAACTTCTACTGTCATTTGATTTCACTTTTTTCGAACCTTTGCTAATCCAGATATCTTTTCATTTAATAGGTGAGGATTATGCGTCGGCTCCGTCATCCAAATATTGTTCTCTTTATGGGTGCAGTAACACGGCCTCCACACTTATCTATTGTATCAGAATATCTTCCAAGGTATTTTTTTTTCGAGAAAACGCAAAGGACCTTTGCATTTCATTTCATGGAAAAGGTAGACCAATCCTCCTAGGAGGTGAGCAGTACAAAGAAAAGCACAAAATCAGTGGACATCCCAGGTTGTGGGCAGAACAACCCGAAGTCCCTGGGCTCCTGCTTCAGCCCAACACCGGGCCTCGTCCTTGATCCTAACCACTAGTGATTCGATGGATGGCGTGGCGTTGTCGAAGACACAGGCGTTCCAGAGCATCCAGGGCACAAGAAGCGCGATGGATTTGAGGGCCTTCCGATGCGCCGGCGGCGCGAGCTCTTTCGCGCCCAGCCACCACTCCGTGACCGTGTGCTCCTGATCGGGGATTTGGACCGGAATAATCAACCAATCAAGGACAATGTGCCAGGTCTGACGTGCAAAGGGGCAGGTCAGCAGCAGGTGCTGGATAGTTTCCATGGCCTGGTCGCAAAGGAGGCATCGAGGGTGATGCTGCAAGCCACGTCGCGCGAGCCTCTCAGCAGTCCAGCAGCGATCCTGGTCGGCGAGCCAATGGAAATTTTTTACCCGTGGAGGCGCCCAACTCTTCCATACCAACTTCCAAGAATGGCACCGCGTGGATCCCTGGAAACTGGCCGCATAGCATGAGCGCGCCGAGTAGGTGCCATTGGTGGTCCACCTCCAGAGCAGGCGATCCGGCTCGTTCGTCAGGATGGTGTGGCACACAGCCTGCCATAGCAGTAAGTATTGTCCGATCTCGTGCAGACCCAAGACCCCTTGAATATCATGTGCCCAAGAGTTACCCGCCAGCCCTTCAGCCACCTTCCTGGCCTTGCGTCGATGTTTGGGAATGCATTGGTGGAGTAGGGGAGCTATCTCACCTACAGACTGCCCGCCAATCCAGCGATCTTCCCAAAAAAGCGCCGTCGAGCCACTTCCAATGATCATGGTAGTGGAGGCAAAGAAGAGCGCGCGCTCCTCGTGAGAGAACTGCAGATCGAGACCTTGCCAGGCACGGTCTGGATCGACGCGGGCGAACCAGAGCCATCGCAATCGTAGTGCGAGGCCAGCGCGCTCCAGGTCTCGGACTCCCAGCCCACCATACGCGATAGGACGGCACACACGGCTCCAGTTGACATGGCAATGGCCACCGTTGGCCACGGCCCGCCCAGCCCACAAGAAGCCTCGCTGGATCTTCGCCAATTGTTTGAGCGTCTTCTTCGGGGGAGCGAACGCGAGCAGCTGGTGCACTGGTATTGCGTTGAGGACCGATTTGACAAGGGCAAGACGCCCGGCTTTGTTCATGAGCCACGCCTTCCAGGTAGGAAGCTGGGCAGCCACCGTATCAACGAGGGGCTGCAACTGGGCGGCGGAAGGCCGTCGCGTCGACAACGGGATGCCCAGATAAGTGATGGGGAGCTGCACCACCGGGCAACCCAATTGGGCGATCACCTCTTGTCCCTGCATTGCATGTCACCGTGCAGGACGGTGGCAGAGCTCTTCGCATAGTTAACCAGCAGCCCGCTCGCTTTGCCGAACAGGGTCAAGACACCCTTGATGGCAGCAGTGTCCTCCGGCGTGGCATGACAGAATAGCATCACATCGTCAGCATAGAGGGAGATCGCCGGGATTGGGCGTCGGGGGTGCAACTGCTGCAGAATGCCGGCATCGAGCGCTCGGCGCATCAACCGCCCAAGCGTGTCCACAGTGAGAACGAACAGCGGGGGGACATGGAGTCGCCTTGGCGCAGGCCACAATGGTGCCAGATCGGGGGGCCTGGCCCGCCGTTCATCATGACACGGGTGCTGGACGTCGAAAGCAGGATCGCAAGCCATTCCCGAAATCTGTCCCCGAACCCATATTGGCGCAAAACCTCAAAGAGGAATGGCCAAGATATGGAGTCAAAGGCGCGCGTGAGGTCGAGCTTGAGCATGATCCGCGGAGCTCCGAGTTGTGCAGCAATTTGAGAGATTGCCTCACGAGGATAAAGTTATCATGGAGGCTCCGGCCGGTGATGAACGCGTTCTGGTTGCGACTGACCAGGCTATCCAATCTGGGGGCAAGCCGCAGAGACAGGACCTTGGTGAATATCTTGGCCACGATATGGATCAAGCAGATCGGGCGGTAGTCGCGGAGCTGCTGGGCGTCGGCGCGCTTGGGCAGAAGGGTCATGAGGGCTTGGTTGAGCTTGCCAAAGCCACGGCCCCGCATCTCGAACAGTTGCTGGAAGACATCCATAAGGTCCTGTCGAACGATGGTCCAGCAAGCTCGCAGGAACTCCGCAGTGAAGCCGTCAGGCCCAGGTGCCTTGCGAGCGGGGAGGCGCTTGATCGCGTCCCAAACCTCCTCCACGCTGAAGGGAGCGTCCAGGCTCGCCAGATCACAAGGCTCAATGAGCCCCTCCAGGTTGAGCGTAAGGTCGCGGTCGGCGGCCGTGCCCAGGATCTCGCCAAAGTGCTCGAAAGCAGCCTGCGCCATCGCGTCCTGGTTGGTGAGCGTGTGCCCATCCACGGCCAGGCTGAAGATTCGATTCTTCTGACGGCGAAAGGAGCATTGCCGGTGGAAGAATCCCGTGCTAGCGTCGCCGTCCTTGAGCGTGGCGATGCGGGTGCGCTGCCTGGCGATGGTGCGCTCCAACGAAGCGAGGCCAAGGTACGAGACCTTGAGGCGCTTTCACAGCCAATCCTCCTCCGGAGTGAGAGTTCGATCCTCCTGGGCCTTGTCAAAGCGCGATATGAGCTCACGAGAAATGGCCAACTTGTCGCGAATACTGCCTGTCTTCTTGGCACTCCAGCTTGTGAGCCTGCGCGCCGTGGCCTGGAAGCGCAACATCAATCGATGGAAGGGGTCAGGGTCATGGACCGAGCCCCAAGCTGCAGCCACCGTGTCGTGGAACCCATCAAGCCTCAACCAGAAGTCCTCAAAATGAAAACGTCTATGCGCCGTGAGCATGGGGGAGCAGTCCAGCAGCAGGGGGGAGTGGTCCGAGATGACCGACGCAAGGCAGAGAAGGTGACATTCGCCGTGAGCATCCTCCCAGTCCGAGGTGCAGAGCACACGATCCAGGTGCACAAGAGTGGGAGGGGACTGCTCGTTCGACCACGTGAAGCGACGCCCGTTGAGGTAGACCTCCTTAAGCGCAAGGTCATTGACGAGGCGACGGAATCTGCCCATCATACGACGATTTAAGTTACCGTTGTTCTTGTCCACGTCGCGCAGGATGAGGTTGAAGTCTCCGCAAAGCATCCAAGGCCCGGGACAGGCCGCACGAATCTCCCGCAGCTCAAGCATGAACGCAATTTTGTCCGCGTCGTCCTGGGGTCCATACACTACAGAGAGCCACCAAGGGATGCCCGAGGCCGTGGCCACTTTGGCCGAGAGGGCATTCGTGGTGAACAACGGGTCCGTGATAGTCACGACCCTGCTCTTCCAAGCCAGTAAGATGCCGCCCCGCGTGCCAAGAGCCGAGAGGTATGTGTAGTCATCAAACTCTGAACCAAGGGTGTCAAGAACAACAGACGAACAAAGCAACTCCATCTTAGTTTCCTGCAAGCACACAATGGAGGCAGCGGTGGTATCCAACAGCGAGCGAATGGCGGTGCGCCGGCTCCGCGAATTCAGGCCGCGCACATTCCATACAGCAATCTTAAGGCTGTGATCCATGGAAAGTGGATCGACGGGGAGCGGGCAGGAGCCGCCTAGGATGTGCAGGCGACCTCGACATGTGCTGGCGCGATCGGCGGGCAGGATAGGCATGCTGGGATCTCGCGGTCGACCAACGCGGCCATGGCCTTGAGCACCTGGAGCGGGATGGGCATCGCAAACATGCCATCGTAGGCCTTCATCTCGGCGGGGGTTATCTTCTGATTCGTCCCAATGATCCCCAGGGTGCGCAGGATTTGGACCTGCGCACGTCTCTCGGCAGTGGGTGGCGCCGCCGCCGGGCGGGCAGTGGCAGCCAAGCGGCCGCGACGGGGGGAGAAGTTCAGGGGCCTTCGCGGCCTCCTCCCAGGCGTCGGCAGGGCCGCATCGATGTGCTTGGTGGCGGCGGCCAGAAATTCCCCCAACGTTAGGGAGCTTGGCGCAGCGGGACGGGCGCGGGAACGGCGCATGGTGATCGGCGGGGATGCGAAGCGCTCGGCAGCAGGCAGATTCGTCCCCAGTTGGGCCCTCGCAGGCGTGCGGGCCTCCAAGTTGAGTCCCGTTGCGGTGATCGGGCTTTGTGGCCTCTGCAGAATAGTCACCTGGGGCGAGAGCCCAGTGTCCTCAATGGGCTGGGCCTGGGGCGGTAGAGAGGCCTTGGCCTGGGGGGACGAGGTGGGGCGCTCCTCTCCTCCACCCACGACGCGCGCATGGGGCCCGGAGGACCGGTCAGCGGGGACAGGGCCGTCGTCAGGTGGGGGTGCAGGCGAGACGCCGCTTTGCCCCGACAAGCAGGCCGGCACAGGCTGTGAGGCTGGTCCCACGCGCATATCGGGCAGATCCCGACAATTCCTCGGATCAGGAGCATCAGAACCAGGGCCCATACAATCCTCCTCGGGGGCATCCGATGGTGTGAGATTCAAATCTCGGATCCTTCCGGAGTGTTCTCCGCGAATGGGGGCGTGCCACTTGGTCCGTGGCCTGGCTCCACGCTGGGGATTGGAGCAGCCGAGGGGCCAGGCGGGGGGCCACCGACAGGCGTCCTTCGCGCATCTCCGTCATCTCCTGCAGCAACAGAGGCCCTGCCCGCCTGGGCCACCGCCAAAGCTTGCTTTGGCTTTCTTTTGCGCCTCCCTTTTCTGGCGCGGCCACGCATGTTGGTGGGGCCATGCTGATCGCGCTGCTGCTCCAGCTGACCACGCTGCCCAGGCCAGGACTCTATGGCGCAGCCGCGACGGTGTACGGACGGCGGCGCAACCGCGAAGGGCGGCGCGGGCCATGCAGACGCGACGGACAGACCGTCGGTGCGCGCAGCGCGGTTCCCAACCCGCCACCCCAGGGAGTCGGCCATGCCATCAGCCCGGCCGGCCGGCGGCGCCTCCGAGCGTCGACGCTTGCGGCCGCGGCGACGCGCACGGCCAGGGCCCCTACCACGAGCAGGGCCATCGCCATCACCGGCGCCACCGCCGGCCGGTCCGTCGCCAGCGCCAACACGGGGAGCTGGGGCGCCGATCCTCTCCGCACGGGCCAGCGCGATGGAAATCGGGTAGGTGAGGGTCCGGATGGCAGGCGCCTCCGAGCCCACGCGCGCGGGGATCTGTTCCACGATTTCCAGGATGGCGGCGCGGCGGATGTTGGCAGGATCATGCGTGCGCCCCGCCAGCCGGAAGATGGCCAAATCAGCCCTAGAACGCGTGCCGGGGTGGAGTCTCTCAATCCAGCAGCTCTCCCCAAGAATATTGCATGCATGTTTAAAATTTTGTATGAGAGAATGCTGAATGTGATGCACGTAATGAATGAGATAACATCATGGGCAGCCAGCTTTACATTAATGTATGTATGTACTCTGTGGCCATTGACTAAGGTAGGAGATGTTTAATGCACAGCTGATAGATTGAGAATGTTATGTGAGAAGAGTACCCTCCCATAATTTCTTTGGAACAGAGACAGAGAGGGAATACATTGTGTGTTAGTGTGTGCCTGTGTGGTGATGAATAAATAGAGGGAGAGAAGATAAATAGTTGCATGGTGTGAAAAATATCACTGTACATGCATAGTTGCACACCCGAAATGGTGTAATTACTTTACATCATTCCATGGGCTATGTAAATGTACTGAAAATTTCCACAAAACAATGTTCAGTTATGCACTATGTCACTTTCATAATATGTGAAGCTTTTGATTAATGTGCATATTTAAGCAATATTTTTCATGTCGAAGTACACGGAAGGACCCTTAAGTAGTATTTCAAGCACGTAAAAATGTGTAATAAAGTAGGGGGCACTGTAGGTTTGATAGGGGCATTTTGATTTTTTTTTGGGTATTTTGGGAGAGATCTTGTGAATAAGACTTTAGAAGTACCAAGTATTGTGAAACAGACAGTTTATAAGTCGAACCTATTATTACCGTTCCATTCAACACTTATGTTTTGGCCGGTGATGAATCAAACAGTTCCCATTTCAACATTGACATTCATCTAACTGTTATTTTCTTTCAGGGGAAGCTTATATAAGATTATTCATCGCCCTAATTGCCAAATCGACGAGAAGCGTAGGATTAAAATGGCCCTTGATGTGGTAATGGTGAAATTTGGATGTTATAGTTTCATGCTTATTTCCATGTGTATGGCCATATTATGATTATGCTCTCTCTGTAGGCCAGAGGCATGAATTGTCTTCATACCAGTGTGCCAACAATTGTTCACCGGGATCTAAAATCACCAAACTTGCTGGTTGACGATAATTGGACTGTGAAGGTATCTACCTGCTTCAGGACGAAAGCATGAACTCTTATTCCTTTAGTTTCTAGATAGTTGTTACTGTTAGCTAACAAAGTACATGCACACAGGTCTGTGATTTCGGACTTTCACGTCTGAAGCACAGTACATTTTTGTCATCAAAATCCACTGCCGGGACTGTAAGTAATTGATAGTCATTGTGGAATGAGTTCTTACAGAAACTTAAATTGATCCTCTGTTAAAATTTGTGGTTTCCCCTTATACCAGCCTGAGTGGATGGCACCAGAGGTTTTGCGGAATGAGCAATCCAATGAGAAGTAAGTGATCTTTGAGGTCTTTCTCAAATACTTACATTTGCGAGCTTTTAATATTTTCACAAATTCCGTATTCATTGCTTGAGTTTAGCCTAGATAAAATCTCAGTTCGACCTAAATAAGCTTAATGCTAAATTCTGTATGTGCTATGTATAGCCTTTGTTGGTCAACTGCTGGTCATGTTCATACCTGTGATTTGTCATGCAAGTACATTGCTATCTTTCTGAAACATGCTATTTGTAGCTCCTCAAGATATTCCAAATTCCACAACTCCGCATGTCTAAGTCTCTCTTCTCCATTCATTATAGTACAAGTTGTGATAGAGAGATGGATGGTTATTATGTACTCCCTCCGTTCCTAAATATAAATCTTTTTGGAGATTCCAATACAGACTACATACGGAGCAAAATGAGTGTATATTTAGGAACGGAGGGAGTAGGTAACCAGGTACTGTGGATTATGAGGTGTATTGCTAAGTTGGGTGAGGTATTTTGTGATCTAAGCTTAGTTGCATGTACCATGTAGCATTTTTAGATTTATTGTTCCACTGTTACATCACTTGTATCCTGTCATGGCGTCAGGCTGTTGTCTAGAAGCTGATAACTTGTCATGTGAGGCATTTGTTGGTCAACTGCTGGTCATGTTCATACCTGTGATTTGTCATGCAAGTACATTGCTATCTTTCTGAAACATGCTATTTGTAGCTCCTCAAGATATTCCAAATTCCACAACTCCGCATGTCTAAGTCTCTCTTCTCCATTCATTATAGTACAAGTTGTGATAGAGAGATGGATGGTTATTATGTACTCCCTCCGTTCCTAAATATAAGTCTTTTTGGAGATTCCAATACAGACTACATACGGAGCAAAATGAGTGTATATTTAGGAACGGAGGGAGTAGGTAACCAGGTACTGTGGATTATGAGGTGTATTGCTAAGTTGGGTGAGGTATTTTGTGATCTAAGCTTAGTTGCATGTACCATGTAGCATTTTTAGATTTATTGTTCCACTGTTACATCAC